GTGCCTTAGAAACGAGGCAAATTCTGGCCACCTCAGGTATCCAAAATAAGTTCGGTTAAACAAATATGACAAAATCAAGCAAGCATCTATATTGAAACAATTAATTAAAGTGTGTTCTACAAAAAACACAGATAATATTATCAATTAATAGGTAGGCAAAATTATCTATGCTCACAAAGTGTATTTTTTTTTGAAGTTGGAACTAATAGAATTCGAGTGAAAATTCTGAAGAAGGAGCATCACATAAATCTCAATTATCTAAAAATGCATAAATAACTTTGCAAGTTTAGCCTTATCTAAATTTTTAGCTCAATTTTTTAAACCTCGTCTGCATGAATTCAAGAAGTTTAACAAATGCATAAAAGTGTTATTAGCTTCCACCGGTTGCTTAAAAATAAACTGAAGGAAGCAAGTCAAGCATCTATTCCTTTGTGTTTCCAGTTCGCTGGAGATGCAAGTCAGTGGCAGCAATAGGAGAGAAAATGACTGGTCAGCCTTCATCCCCAACGGCGGTTTCAGTGTGAAAAAACCGCCTCTGCTGATTGGGCTGGGTCCGAGTCCCACAGCGGTGAACTTTTTGCAGGAGGAATTGGGTCACAACCTTGCACCAAATACTGCCGATTTCGCCTTCACTCGGCCCCTTCATCCTCCCAAATTTTCCACTTGTGGCGGCGGAGACCCCACGCGATCCGAGCACAGGGGCAACCTTGAGATGAAAGAACTGATGGGTTTAGGTACGTTAACCAATTAATGTCTTTTATTTAGTAGCATATGAATCAGTGCGGCTAACAGCCGAAGTAGGAATATACTTTGCTAGTAGAACGTTGTTAGGAAATTCTCACCTTTTTAGCAAAAAACAGCCAACCCACAAACAATCAAAACCCTTATGCCTTGGCTAAAAATAGGGAATCTCGTATGTGTTTGGGTTTTTTAAGCGTCTTGACATGTGGGGCGCTAAGCCTACCAGTTTACCGTTACTGCCATTCGGTCATACTCTGTTGTCATGGCGACTGAGACAATATACAGTGACTTCTTTGGTTTTACTTACGAAGTTTATCTTTTGTTCTGTTCCTTTTAGCTGAAAGTAAATATGGGCTTTGTTTAGACGACATGTAGCCCTATCGGTCCATTTCATTACCGTCCACCTGTATTACTGCAGTCCAGTTAGGTTGATTTGTGTCCCACTTCTACCAAGAAGGCCGCTCCATTGTAATTTCTCAACATTTATCCTGGTTGATTTTCCGCTGTTTGGCCAAATCTCTGGGCCTAGGCATGCTTGAGCCGGAAAAAATCAAGATATAACAGAGGAGAGGCTTTTTGTCTACTCCGGCGCTAAGCCGTGTGTGTGTTGTCAACAGTAGCTGTCACGATTAGATTTTTGTCTTGAATATAGTCACTTTAAGCATTCTGCTTTTCCAGTTTTCTTTTTGCTTTCCTCTGTAGACGTGGAAAAGAATTTTATTTAAGTAGTATATAGCTTAATTTAATTGATGCAATTGTTAATTGATATGCTGTTCTTAGACTTTGTCACTTTGAGACAACAGCGTTGCACCATTTAAGAGATTT